TGGGGGCTCCGGCGTGACCCGGGGCGAGGGGAGGGTCACCTCTGAGCGCTGTGCCTTGTTTGCCCATCAGCCCGTGGATGAAAAGCCCATGCTTGTCTCCCGTGCTTTTGGCCAAAACCCCATGAGTTCCTGTAGTGCTCGCTCATCCGCACCAAGGGAGAGCTCAGCGGGGAGGTTAATGAGCAACCCGTTCACCTCCCTGGGTTGTTACTGCAGAGTAACATGTTTTTTTCTAACAGAAATAGCCTGTGTAAAGCATACAGAACATAGGGGCCAAGGTGCTGCGTGTTTCTCCATGATCTCCAGTGGCTCTGGGCTGGTTGATGGAGAAGCAGATGAATGCAATACGCTCGCACTCCTTTGGAAGGGTTCCTGGCCAATGCAAGCAGTATTTTTGCACTAATTAGGGATGGTTTCTGGCCAATGCAAACATTTTTGTACCCAATATCAATATCCCAGTCTTCCTAAAATGACTTTGCAGTTGCTTTGCATGGTGTATTTGATTCCTTATGGAGTTGCAGAGATTCATTTTTAATCATACAATAACTCAATGTTTTTTGCACGACTTCAGAGTTGCTTCTTAATAACGTGTTTGAATCCTTAGTTTCTAAAGGGGTTCATTTATAGCACTGGGCTTGTATTATACCTTTAATTTCTTTCATTATCTACCAGCGTTCCTTGAATTCCTGGGTAGTTAATGCTCACTTGAGTTTCCTGTCAGTCATATTATGCTGTATTTCCATTTTTCTCACCCATGTAATCTTCTCTGTGGATATGAATAGGCAAAACAGATCAGCCCGAGATGTTGGAGACTGAACATATTGCTTGTGCTTTTTCCAGTGACAGAAAGGAAAGCAGTGGTTTCTTGCACCGTATGGAGCTTTCCTCTTAGAGAAAAATGGATGCCTTGTGTTCAGAGTGTCTGGGGCTTGGGGAGGGCTGCTGACAACCCCCCCCATCGCCCTCTGCCTCCGCTCTCCATCAAGTCCACATCTCCATCTGGTTTTCCCACCGTGTCGCTTTACCTCATCTCTAATCACAAATAGCACTTTTGATCTCCCCAATCTTCCTAATCTTCCCAGTTCACTAGGTTCATCCTCCAGTTTGAAATCTTTCATACTTTTTCTATCCTTTTCATAGAGAAAAGGAGGCTGAGGGGAGACCTCCTCGCTCTCTACAACTCCCTGAAAGGAGGGTGTAGCCACAGGGGGTCGGTCTCTTTTCCCAAGGAACAGGTGATGGGACAAGAGGAATCAGCCTCAAGTTGTGCCAGGGGAGGTTTAGGATGGATATTAGAAAAAATTTTGAGTCTTATGATTTCTACGCTGTGACTCGCTTTTCTGTGGGCTGAAACTCTCAGCATTTTGTGGCAGCCTGTGGTTGCTGTGGCCACATGTTAATGTTTCTGCATCAATTACTGTGGCGCTTTCTTCCAAAGTGAGACTGCAGTCTTATAATGGGTAGACAAATGCTATTAATTATGCCAACATATAGGATTACATTGATAGAAAGCGAATGTTGATCATGCTGTACTTGCCCTGCAAATTTGCTGTTACGAGACAGCATTTCTTAGGTCTTTAGCGTTGTAGAGAGGCGTTCTTGGAGTTAAAACTTTCCTCTTTTTGTTGATGAAGCTGGAAAACATGCAAATAAATAGTGAAAGGTTGACTAGATCCTTGAAATGTGATTTTTAATTTTCTTTTTTCCCCAGATTTGAGGATAGTGGATCCCAGGTTTACTGACTGCATCCATTGTTTTCCTACTATTGGACATTAATACCAGGTCCTGCCTTGAACCCTCACTGGGTGTCCACGGTGTATCTGAAGTTTTATGGTAGTTCTCTCTTGCCGTACTTTTAGGTATCTTGTAAATAAATGCAGAATAAACAGTGAAAATAATGAAGACATTCATAATTTTAAGATAGTAAAGAAAAAGCCCTCTCTTTTCGCATCTTGCATTGAAGCATGCTTGTTCTTCTGTATGAAGAATTTTTGCAGAGAAACATATTCTTCATTCTCTTTATTTCACTGGAAAATAGAGGCTGTGTATCCAGTCTGCTTTATCACACAGTACATTTTGTGACTATGATGAAATCTTAATTATAGAGGAGTCAGTGCGGCACCTGGCACTCCCTTGTGGAGGGGGCTGGACCAGGCTGCGTGAGGTTTGGTGAGGTCCAGCAGCCGCACGAAACCCTGCCATCCTGCTTTTCATGTGTTCCTGCAGACTGAGAACAAAACCACGCCAAACTGAGCAAATCCAGGTCACGGTATTTATCTATATTTGAGATTCATGGTTTGTCATTTAGTGCCAGGGAGAGTCAGGAAGAGGCATGTCTCTCTGGTGGCAAAAGCCAACGTTTTATGTCCAGCAGTTCCACTTACCTGCGGAGGTCCTATATTGATAATGAACTGTTAGAGGAGTCAATAGGGATAATTAGTGTAGGTTTTTCATGAGGAGCTAACAAAATACCCATTGGGGCATTTTAGCACTGCAGATGGCACTGGATTGTGATGTGACCAACAAGTCAGCATCCTTGTGCCAGGGTGCTGAGCTCCCTTGTGTTTGTAGATCACGGATGGGAATGGAATGGAGTAGAATAGACTAATTCTGTTGGAAGGGACCTACAATGATCATCTGGTCCAACTGCCTGACCAGCTCAGGACCGACCAAGTTAAAGCATGTTGTTGAGGGCATTGTCCTTAATACTTGAACACTGCCAGGCTCGGGGCATCAGCCACCTCTCCAGGGAGCCCGTTCCAGGGTTTTACCACCCTTTTGGTAAAGAAATGCTTCCCAAAGCATCTTAGCTTCTGATGTCCCTCTCCTGGGTTCCTCTGGTTCAGCCTCAAGCCCAAACCATTTCTGCACTTGCAGATTGAGACCATCAGTGCAGTGCTGGAGCCCCAGCAGTGTGTGAGCGTGGTCACTGTGCGCAGGCAGCAGATGCCACCTCCTGCTGCCTGCGAGCTTGGGCAGGAGATCCCCCACTGCTGCCTATGGCTTGGGCTCGTACCTGTCACCCCCAAATAACCAGCTCTTCTAGCTGTGGGTGAAAGACAGCTCTCTCCTGTCGGCTCGCAGAAGGTGGAGTCTCTGGAGCATATGTAATCATTCCAGGCAGGTTCGGGATTTCTATTTGAGGGGTAATCACATATTCTGTAGTGATATGTTGTCATTTTTAGAAATCCATTGTGTTGCGCACAGAAAGCAACATGCTGCTACTATGATCTTCCTCAAATGTTGAGATGTGCTTTTTCTTTAACGAGGTTGCTTACTAATTCCTGAAGAAAATAATGAAACTGAAGAAAGAGTCAGTGCGTGTTCATCTAACGTCATTGAACTTCAAATCAGCAGGCCTGTGTATTTCATTTATTAAAAGTGACATCTCTGCTGATAGGTTCAAGGGCCTGGTGAATATTCATATCTAGATTTGTTTCTTGGCTGCTGACTAGAGCATGCTTTCTAGATCACTTGTAGTCATGGATACATGGAAATGACACTTTGGGGTTTGTTTTCTCAGCAGCAATGATTTCCTACACAATATTCCAAATATTATAATAAAGAATTGTCAGAGACTGTCCTCCTGGAGTGATTGCAGATCATGAGCTCTTGCACATGGCTTAATTGCCGAGAAAATGCTGTGGTTTAGAAGTGCTGGGTTTTCTCTTTGAGTGCTTCTTAGTGACCAAAGTTCAATTAATGGATTTGCTTGCATGTGAAAATATTGGTTCAGTGCTGTGTGTGCTAATATTTTGGATTTCAGAAAAAATATTTATGAACCAGACGTAGCTGGGTTGCACATTGCTCACGACAGTCTTTGTAATACAGGGGTGGCGGGAAAAGCCTCAGTAAAATGCTGCCCATGGCCACAGATTTTCTACTCCAGGGCCAGGTTTTGTCAGGTGGAGGGAGCAGCGACAGTTTGTGGCTCCTGCAGCATCTTGGATGAGCCGACCACGGGCTCCAGGCTTTACCTGCCTCCTTGCCAATGGCTTGTGACTTCTCAGCCCAAGAACCATCAAGTCCTACTAAAAGACCCAGGGGGCAGGGGTGCAGTAAAAAGATGACACAGCACCCATGTAGCTTTGGGAGGCCATCAGAAGGATGGGTCAGCACTGGTTTCCCCAAGTGGTCTTCCATGGGGTCTCTTGGAGCAACCTAGGGAGGAGACGATGCATCTGCCCTTCAGTGTTGCTTATGGAGTGGGGGGAGATATGTGGTAGGAGCTGGCCCAGACTCTGTTTTCAATTTCATTTGGCAAAGTTTTCTGAGTTCTCCTGCAGAAAATGTCCCACAAAAGTGACAATAACAATATTTTGGATATAAGCCTAGCACAAAAGGGTAATAGGAACTCCATGGGCATGTGTGGGCTTTTGATTCATCCTCAGAGATGACAGATGTGCATTTATTTAAGATCTGGGAGTGGGACTCGGAATATTTATAGTGAATACTTTGCTCCCACTCTTCCTGTGTGATTTTGGTCCCCACTGTCACACGGGTTCAGTGCTCTCTGACCATCTCATGCATCATTCCCGCTGCAAATCCCGAAGCCCCTGCCAAGCATTTCTTTGTGCAGCCTCCAGAGCTTTCTGGGAGGAAACGCTGAGGGTCCCTGTGCATGGTCAGGATCTCATGGTAGAAAACCAGGGTGCAGCTCATTCCCCGTCATCTCAGTGCTGTCCTGTGGAAAGCCCAGACACCGGAGTGAGGGGTTGTTGGATGTGGATGAGGAGTAGGGAGCCGGGCGCGCAGCCGGGGTGTGTGGGGCTGGTGTCCCCCCCTCTGCCGCCCTCCTGGTTTGTGTGTTGCTGTGAGACTCCTCCTGTGCTGACATGGGTCAAAGCTGGATTTTAACTCCTGCTAAACCACTTCTTTAGTAACCACATCCAACCTGAGTGCCAGCGACTTCAAGCAGGTAAAAAGACACTATTGAAACAAAACCAGCTGCTGCCCCGTATCTTCTCCAAGAGTGGGGACTTACAATAAAAGCTTGGCCAATGCTCTTTAGCTGTCTCCTTGTTGTCTTTTTAAATGTAAGATCTTTGCAGTAAAGCATTTACAAATTTAAATTCTTTTTTCTTTACCTTGTAGTGAACTTTGACCACTTCCAGATTCTCCGGGCGATTGGGAAGGGAAGCTTTGGCAAGGTAGGCTTGAGCGCTCGGTCTGGAGTTTGCTTGTGTGTCTTATCAGGTGCCTGCTGTTATGTCCTGATGGTTTATTGAAACAGTAGTGGTGCTGCAACAGGCTATTTTTGTGGTTAGATGATAGCCGCTGAATAAACACAGGAAAAACGTGTTCAGGAAAATACCTCGTTGCCACTTGGCATTGCTTTAATTCTTGGCATCTTGGTGAAACAGCTGTATTTTAAACTGCCAGCACAATTGTGACCGTTTCATGGCAAGTATTCATCATGTTTTCTCTTTCCTGAGGGGGTTTCTAGGTTGTGGGGGGGGCAGTAAGTCAGGGAAGTGTTGGAAGTTGTTCTGGGTGATTGACTGAGCTGGCACGATGCGGTCAAGAGGGTTCTCTGAAGCCCTGAGCTGTTTTCCCACTCAGAACTGAGTTATGCTGAAGAGTTTTTGTTGTTTATTTTTAACAAGTTTTTTTTTTTGCCAAGCATGTGGGAGAAGGTGGGAGGTGATGATCAAAAAGCTAGATAGCTCTGAAAATCAGTCACTGGTTGGTTTCCTAGTTTTATTCCTTTTTCATTCCCCTTTTCACTGACTCTCACCCAGGCCTTGTGTAGATAACTATTTGCTGTCACGGCATTTTACACCATTTCTTTGCACTGCAGGCACAGGGTTTGGTGTGTATGTGTGTGTGCATGGGCGTGTGTCCTTGCACACACATGAGGGTTCATTACATTTGTTCTGTTCTCTAGTTATTTTGTCACCTGCATTTTGCAGTAGTTGTGTCCCTCTGTTCAGCCAAGACGTCTGCATCCCCTGGAGTGCAGGAGCTGTAGGAGCCATGACCCTGGTGACAAGTTATGAAAATTGCTGGGTTTGGTTGTCGTCATCTTCTCGTGTGACGGCCACGTGGTGTGGGGCTTTGTGTTGGGGCAGGACAGGGAAACGGCCTTTGAAATTGTGCAAAATGTGTAATATGGAATTTGTGAAATAGCATAGACCAGTCCAGAGGACAGTCCTGGCTATCTTGGCTGGTTTCTCCCATCCTGCTCTGACCAAAAGCTCATAGTGTGAGGGCAGGAAAAGCTGAGTCTGGCCCAGGAGATGGGCTGTGCTGCCCTTTGCTTCCTCGCTCTGCCCGTTACAGCCCTAACGAGGCAGCGTCACGCCGGGTGATGGCTGAGCAGCCAGACCTGCTGCCTTCTGTGCTCAGAAACTTTGTTCAGATGCTCAGAAACTTTGCAAAAGCAGAAATTCCTCAGGGGATCTGAGACCTGTTTGCTCAGAAAAGCCCAAATTTACACCAATTACTGAAAATCTCTTTAAGTACTTAAAATGTATTGAGTAGCATCAGTCTTGAGAAGCGGTACAGAACTGCTCTCGGTGAGGTAGAGTCCAGCTCTGCTTAGTGTCAAGAGAGTGGACACAGTAAGTCACAGTGCTGCCATTAGCGCTGCTGGCTAACGAAGGTGTCGTTGCAGCCTCAGTTAGCTGACGAACACTGTGCTGTCTGTTACACCATCCTGGTGTGCTCGGGGCACAATCTACCCACGTGAATTCCCACCTGGCTTTGTTGTGAGTCCACATGGGATCAGGGTAATGGAGATGTGATACCAAGCAGCGTGCGAGTCAGGGAGAAGGTGGTTTTAAATAGTCGCCTGTATTTGCAGCCGTGTCTCTTGGGCAAGAAGAGGCGAAAGCTGGCAGCAGAGCTGTGTCAGCTGTCTGAGGTCATACTAGGTGATGGAGAATGATTAAATACAAGCTCAGGCCCTTCCTTAGGGCAGTGCTGTAAAGGTAGAGCAAAGAGCAGAGGAACGTCTCCCCGGATGCTTCTGGTAACAAAGAAAACTCTCAGGATCTTGTGACTCCTGCTCATTGTCACAGACCAAAACCCGACTCAAAACCTTACTAGCAAATAGCAGCTAACATTTTTCCCAGCTTGTATGAGAAGACTCATACTTCCAAATGTAAACTTTCCAGAGAAAAGAGGGTTTATTCTGTCAAGCAGCAGCACTTGGTGCTGGAAAATTAATTCTGCTCAGAACGTGAAAAGGAGAAAAAAATATTCTTGTCCCAGGGTAGGACCTTCTTGGCTTTGAAGAGAGCTGCTCCTGGGGGCTGCTTCCTTTTCTGTTTATGTTAAAGAAAGGTTAAGTCTAGCACATAGCAGTCTATCAGGCGTCAGAATTGTATATACACTTTCAACAAAATGCTGAAATGATTCATCTGTCATCTTTCTGGATAATTATGTCAATATGCTAAATTTCCTTTGATACTGAGAAAAGCTTTTTACATTTACAAAGTCATTTACAACTCACATTTAATTATAGAAAATGTAGAACTACCTACCTGAAAACCGTTATTTGAAATTTCTGAGTAATTTAGTTGCTTTGGTTGATTTAAGCCCTCTCGGCCCACATTCTGGAAGGTATTGAGGAGCCAGTGTCCTGTCCATCTCAAAATGGGGGTGTGGGCCCTCAGTGAGTGACCTGGGACATCGGTGCCACCGCGTGATGTTGAAGAGGGATCCCAGACAAGCCCCCGGGCATCTGGTGGCTGTGGCGTGCACGGCTGTGGATGGGGATTGGGCAGGAACCATGGCAGAGGATGGGGTGGGTGATGGCCATCATTGTCACAGCAGGGCTGGTGTGGAGCGTGGCGGCAGGTAGAGGGGTTGGCCTCCATGGCTGGCCGGTGGACCTTCCCTGCTCCCCGGGGAGGCTTCTCACCCACGCTTGCCAAAGAACATGCACTCGCAGGGTGGCTTGCTTTGCAAAAGTACCTTAACTTCATGATTTTGTTGCTTTAATAATTCACACAGCCTGAAGCCGGGTATAGAAAAGCTTTAATCCATTTTCTAAAGGTCATAAATGCCCAGCCAGGAGATACACCGTAAATAAAACTCCCTTATAAGTCTATTCTCAACTGAATCCCTCTTTGATATCAACACAAGCTTGATCCTTGGTCTTTTTTTTTCTGCCTTTATAAATGTTGGATTTTTCCCCAAAAAGAAAGGCTAGAAACATAATCCTTTGATCTTGAAATACCACGGGATGTTTTTTGCCCTTGTTTTTCCCTCTGCCTGTCCCGGCGCTGGCGTGAGGCCGAGGGTTTGTCAGGGCCGTGGGCAGGGTCTCCAGAGGCGCGTCCCTGCCGGCCATGGCCCTGTCACGCGTGGCACGCTGGTGACAGCCCCGGACCCCTGCTCCCGGGAGGCTGCAGAGGTGGAAATACATTGGCAGTGGCGTTTGCTGTGAGGGGACAGCCATGCGAGGGGTGTCCCTGGTCCCGGGGTGTCTGACCCCCCGCCTGCCCTGGCGGAGGGGAAGGCCTGGCTTGCTGCGCCATGCCGGTCTGGCACCCTCCTGCTTGGCCCCGGGGCCACACAGGCTGTTGTGTGGGACACGGCAGGTCCCCTCCAGGCAGGAGATGTGCAGTGGCAGGAGCAGTGGTGTGAAGGACAGCTTCACCATGGTGTGCGGCACAGGAATGGCTCCCCTGCCGGGGGGCATCTGCCCAAATCTCTCGTCTGGTGTGTTTTAGAGCATGGAGCACGCAGGGGGTTATCCTCCCTCTGATGCAACCTCCTAGGTACTATTTAGTGATTTATTTATTTTTTTCTTTCTTGAATGTTGCTGAGCTGTAAGTGTGTCATTGGTAAAAGCCATGGGAGAGAGAACGGCAAAGAATGAAAGGCTGAAGGGACGGTGTGGTCCAGCGCTCCCTCCCTGCCCAGCCTCGGCTGTAGGGGCAGCAGCAGTAAAACTATGGAGCAGAAGATGCTGCCAAATGCCCTGGGGTGATGAGTGAGCAGTGACTTCAGCTGGCAGGAGGCCTGGGGCATGATCCTGTGCGCCCCACCGGGGACCTGCTGGGGTTTCTGAAGGATCAGACTTCATAGGGCAGTGATTTATAGTAAAAGCTGCCCACTTCTGTTATTATTGTATACCCGGTGCCTTATTAACATTTGCATTAGAAGCTGCCTGGGGTTTATTTCAACCCCCGTCATTCCCCGTGGATGAATCACGCTGGTGTGGGACGGGAGGTGGGACGGATGATCCCACCAGCAGCCAGGAGGCTGAGGACAGGAAAGCGGTGTGGGAGAGCGGCGGGTGGAGGAACCCCCCTCCACACAAAGACCCGCTGGTGGCCCCTGGGCCACCCTTGCAGGTGCCGTGGTGGGCGGCATGGCCTCCCCTGGGGCTGGGTAGCTGCTGCACAACCAAGAATTAAATTTGTGCATGAGTCAATCTCCCACCTTTACCCACTACAAACTGACCCAGAGGGTGTTCTCATTGGGTCTGCTCCACCTCATGCTTATGGAGCTGTTGGGAAACTCCTTCCTCCTCGCCTGAAGTTTTGTCATTTTCTCTTGACAAGTCTTTTGCTATCAAAGTGCACCAAAACAGAGAGGATCTAGTGTCTTGTTGCCAGAACAAAGCTCATCTCTACTAACTCACGCATAGCAGCAAAGCCTGATTTGCTGTGATGAATTCATGAGTATTCCCTGGTGGCTAATAATATGGTTTAATTAATGATGGAGCCCTTCCCCCCCCCGTCTGGATCTCTCTCTTTTGTGTGTCTGGTTTTCACAAAGCTGAGAGGAACTTTTACATCTTTGAGATGTCCATCCATCTGTAAAATCTGGCTGAAACTGGCCAACAGTCCTAGAAGTGGGTAGGGGTGAGTGTGAAAAAAATAATCCCATAACCTCATTTTCTTAGGAAAGCAGACAGCAATGTTTAATTCATGAAGCCGTCAGCGGGCCTGGCAGACTGGATCCCTCTTGGCGTGAGCCTGCATTGTAGCACAGCACAGCTCCTCGAGTAACCGGGCCTTTTGAGAGGAGCGGGTCTGGGTGAGACACCACATCCTTGTCCCCTCTGTCCCTGCCGGGGCTGGCACCACCGGCAGTGGGGCAGGGGGTGCGTGGCCGTGGTGGCCAGAGCCTCCTGCCACCGCGGGGAGAGCTGGTCCCGGCTTCCCCGTAGGACACGGCGATGCAGAATGTC